GGTATCAGGGTTTTATGGCCTCATAAAATGTGTTAGGAAGTATTGCCTCTCCTTCAATTTTCTGGAAGAGTTTGAGAAGACTAGGTTTTAAACCTTTTTTGAATGTTTGGTAGAATTCACTGGTGAAGCCATCTGGTCCTGGACTTTTAATTTTTGGGAGGTTTTTGAAGGTTGTTTCAATTTCCTCACTGCTGATTGGTCTATTTAGATTTTCCAGTTCTTCGGGATTTAGTCTAGGAAGATTATTTATTTATAGGAACTTATCCATGTCTTCTAGGTTATTGAATTTGGTGGCATGTAATCTTTCATAATATTCTAGTATGATCCTTTGTATTTCTGTGATGGCTGTGGTGATTTCTCCTTTTTTTTTTTTTTTTTTTTTTTTTTTTTTTCTGATTTTGTTTACAAGGGTCTTTTCCCTTTTTTCCTTAGTGAGTCTAGCCAGGAGTTTGTCAATTTTATTTGTCTTTTCAAAGAACAAGTTCTTTGTTTTATTAATTTTTGTATAGCCTTTTTGTTCTCTATTTCATTCATTTCTGCTCTAATTTTTATGATTTCCTTTCTTCTGCTGACTTTGGGTTGCTTCTGTTCTTTTTCTAGTTAAGATGTGACATTAGGCTGTTCATTTGGGGTTTCTCTTGTTTCTTGAGATAGGCTAGTGATGATATAAACTTCTGTCTTATTACTGCTTTTGCTGCATCCCAGAAGCTTTGATATGTTGAACTGTCATTTTCATTTGCCTCTCTATATATTTTGATCTCATCTTTTATTTCTTCTTTGACCCAGTTATTGTTTAATAGTATGTTGTTTTATTTCCACATATTTGTGGTTTTCTTTACTTCCTTACTGCAGTTGATATCTAATTTCAAGGCACTGTGGTCAGAGAATATGATTGGTATAATTTCAATCTTCTTGAATTTGTTGATGCTAGTTCTGTGATCCAACCTATGGTTTATCCTTGAGAACGTTCTATGTGCCCTGGAGAAGAAGGTATAAGCTGGTGTTCTGGGATGAAAGGCTCTGAAAATGTCAGTTATGTCCATTTGGTCTAGTGTTTCATTTAAGGTCAATATTTCTTTATTGGTTTTCTGTTTATTTGATTTGTCTAGAGCTGTCAATGGAGTATTAAGGTCCCCAACTATGATTGTGTTTTGATCTGTTTCTCGCTTTAGTTCTGTTTGTAGCTGCTTTATATATTTTGGTGCTCCCTGGTTGGGTGCATACATATTAATACGTGTTATGTCTTTTTGATGTACTGTCCCCTTTATCGTTTTAAAGTGTCCATCTTTGTCCCTTCTTATATTTGTTGTATTGAAATCTATTTTGTCAGATATGAGTATGGCTACACTTACTTTTTGTTGGATGTTAATTGCTTGGAGAATCATTTTCCACCCTTTTACTTTGAATCTATCTTTGTCTTTGCAGCTTAGATGTGTCTCTTGTAGGCAGCATGTATTCACTCTGCTACTCTGTGCCTTTTTATTGGTGAATTCAGACCATTTTCATTTAGGGTAATTATTGATTATGAGGATTTCCTGTAGCCATTTTATCTTTTCTGGTAGCTCTGTGCCTCCACTGGTTCTTTTCCTTTGTTCTTCTGTCTGTTGTTTTTGTTGGGTGGTGTTTCATTCATCTTTCCTCTGTTTCCTCCTTTATTAAGCTGTGTGACCTGGTTTGGGGATGTTTGTGTGTGGTTACCATTGGGTTTATAAAAAATAAACTTGCATATATACAATAGTTTTTCTTCTTTCAAGTGCATCTGATGTTCTTCCCCCTTTGCCAGTTTAGACCTTTACCCTCTCCCCCTTTGTGTTTTTGTTGCCACAAATTATCCCTGTTTATGCTCTAAGTTTTTTGGTGATCTCACTTGCAGTGTTGTGACCTTATGTACTTTATTTCAGGTAGAAATAAACTCCCTTGAGTATTTCCTGCAATGGGGGTTTTATGGTTATAAAATCTCTCAGCTTCTGTATGTCTGAGAATGTTTTTATTTCTCCTTTATATTTAAAGGATAATTTTGTTGCATATATTATTCACGGCTGGTAATTTCTCTTTCAGAAGTTTGAATATTAGGTCCACTCTCTTCTGGCTTGTAGAATTTGTGCTGAGAAGTCAGATGAAATTCTAATGGGTTTTCCTTTGTAGGCCACTCATTTCTTTTTCCTGGCTGCTTTGAGAATTTTTTCTTTGTCGGTAATTTTTGACAGTTTTAATACAATGTGCCTTGGAGAGGCCCTCTTTGGATTGAGGTAACTAGGGTGTTCTGTTTGCTTCTTGGATTCAAGGATCTAGTTCTTTCCATAGGTTTGGGAAGTTCTCATCCATTATTTGTTTGAATAGACTCTCTGTTCTCTTCTCCCTCTCTTCTCTTTCCAGAATGACTATTATTCTAATATTGCTTTTTCTGATGGAGTCAGATAGTTCTCATAGAGCCCTTTCATTTTTCTTTATGCTCAGGTCTCTCTCTTCTTCCCCCTGCATCATTTCTAGGTTTTTATCTTTGATATCATTAATTCTTTCCTCTATCTGCTGGCTTTGTTTTCTATGCTCAGTATCTCATTCCTAATCTCCTTAATTGCATGTTTCTTTTCCAGGATTTCTGATTTTTTCTTTTTTAAAGTTTCAATCTCTTTGGTAAAATACCCATTTTGTTCATTGATTTGTTTTCTGAGCCCACTGAATTGCCTGTCTGCATTTGCTTACATCCCGTTGAGTATTTTCAGAACTGCAACATTGAAATCTCTGTCATTTACATCATGTACTTACATGTGTTCCAGCTTGCTTTCTGGGGATTTTTTATTTTCTTTCTGATCATCCTCATTACCATGGTTATTCATGGCATTTTCTCCTCTCCTTTGTCTAGGCATGAATATACCTTCTATAGCAGCTTTCTCTGAAGAGTTTTTTCTATGTTTTCCAGTAGATGGTGCTAAATTTCACTTTTTTTTTTTTAATTCTGTGATCTCCCAGACTTGACCTCCATGGATTCCATAAGCCAGTACAGTGGGGATGCTTGGTGGTGGGGCTTGTTTTGCTCCCACCATAATGGCAAGCCTGGACCCTGGAGCCATGTGGCAGAGCTCTGCACTCTGTCAGGTGTCTTCTGGCTCAGTCACTGTTGGCTCCACTTGCTCTGTTGTACTGCCCCCTGCAGCTTTCTGTTCCTTCCTGCTGAAGAAAGTGTCTGCTCCCACTGGTTTCCTCCTGTCTCCTGGCCACTCTGCAAGCTCCCAGCTACAGGGCTGTGTGTGAGGTTTCAGGGCTCCTTTCTTCCTATCCTGCCCCCCTTCTTATTCCTGGCTGTCCACCTTTAGACGTTTTGATGCACAGGTCTCTCAACTGCGCATCTGTGTTGAGTAGGGAATTCTTTGTTGAATTATAGTTGGTTTCTTGTAACTTCAGGGGGAAAGGCCAAGGGTATCCCTTATTCTGCCATTGTTCTGATGTCACTCATTACTTATTAAAATTTAAGAGACATAAACCTATCAGCCCAGGAATCCTACCCTTAAGGCTCTATTGCATAGAAATAAAAGCATCAATATGTAAGAATATAATAACATAAATTGTCATGCTATGTTCCCTCTTATTCTCACGATCTTTCTGTTTCCCTAGTCCATAAGGGTCAAGGATCAAACCAATAGAAAACTCCAGGGCAGCTGACAGCCCTAACAGCAAGTTGGCCTTGATATAGGGCTCGTGAAGGGTAAGAACTCATTCCCACAGCCACCAGAAATGCTGACTTCTGAGGCTTGCAGTTCCCAAGACATAAAAGATTGTCCAGGAGCATCCTGCATTCCATGACAAACTGAACTCTCTTGCTCCATTCAGGATGACTCTGAAGCACCACCCCAAATCCAGAGCTCTTGGTGACGTTGACTAACATTTCTTGTGTTCAATGCATCTCAGTTCAACTTCTGCTCAAACCTGATTCCTTGAAACACTTAACAGGTGTAGTTCCTGGGTATACTTCCTAATACACTTCTCACAGAAAAATCTCTGCCTTAGCATCTCTTTTCCAAGGAATACAGATTACTACTACGGTAATTGGTTATGTATCACTTATTATGTGCCAAGAACTCTTTTAAGGGCTTTACATCTCTAAATTCATTTAATCCTTACCAAATTCTTATGTAGTAGGAAGCATTATCTGTAAGACCTCAAAGCTTTTCAGGAAAAGGCTTTTTAAAATTTTTAATTTAAGTACAAGTTCTCTGACTTTGAGCTTAGTGCATACCATGGTTGTCTCTTCAAGGAATCAAAACAGGTTTACTCTGCCTAGATACAAAGGCAATTCTGACAAATAATTGTCTGTACTTTATAAATGATACTGGAATGCAATGGTTTGGTGTATCAGTCCATTTCTTTTGCTTTCAAGATACTGGTCTATTTCCTAAATGCCTGCCTGATTAAACTTCTTTAGGCTATCCAAATGAGGAACCAAGTTTCTCCAAAACTTCCTAAATTTTGAATAGTCATTCCCTTTTGTGATACTACTAGGTGACACTCATGTCAAGGATCTTGAATCCTTTCTGCTCTTCATTTAACCCTACTTAATATCAACTAATCCTGGAACTTATAATTCTAACTCTAAAATTAGACCTCCTTAGTCATGCATGTTTACCTTCTTTCAAGGCTTCAGTTATCCATGTATCTGATAGCTCTCTGCATGTGATATCATAGCTCCCTCTATGCATGATAGCTTTCTCAGAACTTCTGGGCTCCTTTGTTCCTTCCACTGAATCAAGCCTTGGGGTCTAAGGTCAAACCAACTGATGATTCCATGGCAGTTGGAAGCCCTGACAGCAGCCTGGCCCAGATATAGGAGTGGTGAGGAGTGGGGTTAATCTTCTCTGTTCCATAAGCTACTTCAGCTTCTGCCACAGCCAATGCCTCCACTATCACTAAAAGTCTAGATTTTCTCTTCTTCTTATGACTAATCAAATCAGAGAAAAGAACTGTGAGATATTAGTGGTGGTCTCAGCTTGAAATATCCACTTGCAATGGTGCACATATCAACCAGAAATATCCAGGCCACCAACATGTTCTTCTCCTCTTGGGCCTTAGTCTTCTTGACTTTTGGGGTTATGACCAATACCTGGGTTAAACTGAATTCTGAAACAAAAACAAATATGCAGAGCCACAACCCATGGATACACACTACTATTTGGCCAAAAGGTAAGAACTATACCATAGGAAAATGGGTGGAGAGGGAGGGTTCATCTTTTTTTAACTTCCATTTACTTGTTTATTCTCTGGTGCAGTTTCCTCAGACTTCCATCGTCAGAACAGTCAGGCAGAGTGCAAAATCTCAGCATTTCTATATTTTGGAGAAAAGTTTAGAAGTTCATGGACTTATTAGCTGAACAGTTGAGAAGCCTTGGCAGTAGCAGCAGGGTGACCAACACAGCACAGACATAAGGGTATGAAAGAAAGGAAACTGCCAACAAGGAAAGTGGGTTTTATTGACACAAGAGGGGAACAGGATAAATTAGAGTATTTCATAAGAAATGAGTTCTCAGAAAAAGGAGAAAGAAGCTTGTTGAGATACCTAGATGGAGAACAGTTTCTTTTGGGTCTCCCTCCCATTCAGCTTACCCTTCTCAGCTTCTTCATTCCCCCTCCCCTTATGTCTTTATTATTTAATCACATATTTCACCCCATTTCTATTTTTACTTAGGGATTTATGGCCCCTAGGTGGAAAGGAAATGAGCCTACAAGAAACTCTGTCCTTTCAATATGGCTTTTGCTTTCCAACAGGTGACCTGGAAGTGGTCAGGATCATGATGATTTTGGTGCTCAGCTTTTCCTTCTTCCACAACTTATTCCTGGGATTGGAATTCACCTACATGATTCCTCAAACTAAATACATCCTCTTTGTCACTGTGTTCCTCAGTTTCTTCACAGGTAACTTCCTGGCTCCCCGAACAGAGGCTTGGAGGTTTACTTGGTTTGTGGGTCCAATCTGTGGTTTCCGATTAATGTGGCCTTCCCAGATTTTTGACTCAGATATGCAACTTCTGAATTAAACCAATTACTGAAGTGGGATTGATTCTTGGATGAGGTGCATTTGTACAGGGTGGAGGCTTAGAAGTTAAGCTACTTGGGGTTAATATGAGTAGAAAAGCCACAGTTCCTCAAAGGGGCTTTTTTCCCTTTTGTTTGGACATTAGGTATCCTTCTGCTCTCTGCACTCCTACTGTATCACCAAAAGCTAAGGCAAGGTCGATCTGTGTACTACTCTAGTTATAAGATCACCTGGATCATTTCCACTGCCTACTTTAGTGTTTTCTTCCTTTTTGCCTCTGGTGAGTGTCTTCAGGGCCTTTGATGGGTAATGAGAACCAGTCTATCCTTAATAGCAGGGAGAGTGAGAGGTGGGGAAAGGGGAAAGAGGAAAAAGGTACCAATCTTTGAATTTTAAAGGGCTGAAGTTCAAGTGGGCTCTCTCTTTGATGACAATTCCTGCAAGGATAAAGTTGGAAATTAGGACTGTGGGAAATGTTCAATAGGCTGGTCCAATAGGGCAGCCTCTTATTTCCACCTTTTCTACTATCTTTCACAACCTCTCCACTTCAGGGAAGAGATAACCAGTAAAATTAAGACTAAAGAAGGTGGCTAATGTGGAATGTTCACCTTAGGTGGAGAGAAGCAGTAACCTGGGTGGACAGTACAGTGCCAAGGCAGTTTTAGATCAGAGAGAAGCAATAGCTATACTAAAGGTTCAGTCACCTACATTGGAGACCCTTCTTTCTAAAAAAGTTTTAAATTTTCATTTAGAAATTCCTAACTCAGAAGCATGTCCTTTTTCAAAAAGAATCCTCAATTTTGTTGAGTTGAGAAGTATTTAAACTCTTCTGCATACGCTTTTAGTCTCTGCCACCAAAACACCCCCTTTCCAAATTTCTTGGTGCAGTTCAAAAGAGATCCACTGGGCTTTAGGTCAGCATCTCTATGCCAACATGGAGGGAAAATGTTTTTGTGACTCTGTTGTTCCTTCATCACCCTCCCTTGGCTTCTCTTTTCCCCAGGAATCCTCTCTCTCCTAGAGTACAAACAGTCCATGAATAGTTGTGCCTCCAGGGCCACCATTCGAAACTTTGCAAGAGAAATTCATGATAGCGTTCAATCTGGGACTTCTATCCAAGTTATTTCGTTATCAGAAAGCACCTCCAAGCCTCGTAGTATTGTCCATGTACACTCTTCCAATTCAGATAAAGACGTTCCAGTGGCATCACAAATCCAAAAGCGTCGTGTAACCTGGGCTCTATGATTTAATAACATATCACTCAATATATGCTCATCTTAATGAAGACAGTTTTGTGTGCATGTCCTGCATATATTTCAGCCATGTTGTCTGTAAATGACTGTGACTTGGTTGAAGTCTGTAAGAAAATCCAGAATATGGCTTTTTAAAAATCCCTGTCTGCTGAATCATTTCTTCTACTTGTCACCATTTAATAACACTTGTTAAAATATAATAAATATTATATAACTAATATTTGCTCTATTGTTAATTGTATACATCACAAAAATTTAGAGTAATATATAATACCTTTTATTTTTTGTTTATTTTGTGAAATATTTCAAACATTCACAAAGAATACAAAATAACATAATAAACAATGTGTGTACACATCACCTAACTTTATAAAATTTTACCAATTTGCCCTATTTGCTTTATTTTTTTCACTTTTTTTTCAATTACAGTTGACATTCAATAAATATTATTTTATGTTAGTTTCATGTGTACAGCATAGTGGTTAGACATTTATTTAATTTATGAATTATTCACCATGAGAAGTCTATATAATTTTATTAACCAATGTCACCCCAGTAAATTCAATAAAAATCTAAAAAGAGTAAAATGAAAAAAAAGAGTGGAGCCCGGCCAGGTGTGACTCAGCGGTTGAGCATCGACCTAGGATCCAGGAGATCGCGGTTTGATTCCCAGTCAGGGCACATGCCCGGGTTGTGGGCCCGATCCCCAGTATGGGGCGTGCAGGAGGCAGCAGATCAATGACTCTCTCATCATTGATGTTTCTATCTCTCTCTCCCTTTCCCTTCTTTCTGAAATCAATAAAAAAATATGTTTTTTAAAAAAAAGAGTGTAAAATTTATGCCACAAAAATACTGGGGGGGAAAAAAACGAATATTCTGGTATGCCTATGTTAATTTAGATTAAGTGAACTTTAAAGTAGGAATTAAGAGACATAAAAGTCATTTTATAAAGATAAAAGGGTCAATTTAACGGGAAAATATTAAAATGTCAAATTTATGTGAACCTAGTAAATAGCTTCAAAATATACGACTTACGAAAATTGCTATTAGTAAGTCATTCTTAATAAAAAGCATCTTAAGAGCTTATTGATTCTCAACAATGATGCAAATCAATATATATCAATATAAAGTGCAGAGTGTGAGAAAATGACTCTCAATTAAAAATTGTATGCTAAGCAACTACCAAGAATGTGAAATAATGATATTTGCAGATATTAAATACCCAAAAGTATTTAACACTGATAGAACCTTATTGAAGAACTTAAAAAATAAACTGTATCTGTAAGGAATATTTGAAGTACAAGAAAGAATAGAGCCCAGATGGCATGGCTCAGTGGTTGAGCATTAACCTATGAACCAAGAGGTCACGGTTCGATTCCCGGTCAGGGCACATGCCCAGGCTGCAGGCTCGATCCCCAGTCGGGAGTGTGCAGGAGGCAGCCGATCAATGACTCTCTCATCACTGATGTTTCAGTCTCTCTCTCTCT